TGCACACGTCGGAAACATTCCGAATTGTCTCTTCAGGACTTTTAAGACTTTCATTCGTATTTGACTGTAAAGTAGATTGAATTTTGCATACGTAAGCTAAACTTTAGTTTTTATCGAATAATATCAAAGTTATTTCGTGAGAGAAAACATATATATGACTTTAAATAAATATAGTTTTGTAAAGTGTCTAGTATTGTAAACAATATCGATGTTAAATGTTTCTCGCAACCTGTTTGTTTCACTTATACTTTATTTTTTATGCCAAAATTAAAATCGCAATTTTTTAAGGCTTACACATACTGACTTGTAAAACTGTCAAGCGATGAGAAATTTTTTTCTAGGCCAGCGATTCGTCTTCCTCAAAGCAGAATTGTAATTTGTATGAGTGCTTTATTATACAAAGGCACGTGCAGTAACGAAGTAGCAACGGAGAGTACTTTGAGTCTATGAACCGGGAACGCGTCCAAGAACAGTTTGAGACAAAGTCGCCGGAATGTTAGATTAATATAGAGCGATAAAGAAAATCGAGCAACCGTGAAGATTATCTTCGTCACTTGGTACATCTCGATTGTCGAAGACGTGCGTTGATGTTTCATTTTCGAAGAATCGCCATCTATGAGATAAAAACTGACATATACCGTTAGAAAAAGGAAACTGGCAAGACACTCAACTGTATACTGTAATATTTCTTAAACGGGCTTGTCGATCTACTGTTCGCTCATCGTCCTGGTTTTATACCGATGACCCGTGACACATATTTATCCGATGAACGCCTTAATTGGAACAAGCAGGCACGTCCATATTAAATCACTTACACGTGCGACACGGCAATGTTTCTCGGATCGAGGCCGACAAAAAATGTTCCCTTCGCGACAATTGTATCGATTATTTATTGTATTACAGTTCATAAAGCGCGTAATAATTTTCAGGAAGTGATTTAATTTCATTTGTGCCCTTTTAAATTCCATTCCTATCGCAAATACAATTTCTGCACGTGACATGGTTATTAAGCACTTTAATAATATTGTAATGGTAAATTAAAACACGATTCCCCGTAAAACAAATTTTGTAAAAGGTTTCGAGAAAACTTGCGTGTGTATAATAAGCGAAAAAAATTTATTTAAAAAATCTAAAGCAATCCAACTTTCTTTATAATAATATAAGAAACTTTTAAATAATACAAAAAGTTACAATCACTTTATCAATTAAAGTTTTCATAACTTCAATTTGAATGTAATGTAAACAACAATAATGCGGGAAAATTGCATGTTTGTGGAATTTTATTTCAACAAAACAACAAATTCTACAGTAATATCCAATGCAAATCCACAGAATTCACGCGGATAAATAGGAAGATAAGGAGTCGGCACCGTTCCATTTTCAGAGTTCGTAAATTTAATCACGCCAGTTATTACAAACCATTTCACTCTTTGTACCAGAAAATCCCAAGGGATGACAGAAATGCATCCGAGCGTGGAAGCTTATTAATTACATTCGCGAGTGCAGCGACTTGTAACAATTAAACTTTCAAAGTAAAATTAGGTAAAATTAGGTTATTGTAATATCGCTTCTCTCTAATAAACGCCGATTTATTCACAGATTTATAATCGACAATCGCGATAATCGCGATGTATATGTTATATTATATTCCATAACAAACTACTAAAAATTGATTTCAATTTTAAATAATAATCAACGCCAAAGTTACACGTAAATAACATACAATTTAATCTGTCCGAACTTTATATTATGTATGAAATAATTTTTAATTAACATTTTTATAACTGCAATATATTCGGATATCATTTTTGTGATATACTTTACAATTTTAATTACGAATTAAAATCAATTTCAAATATTCAAATATTTTGTGTAATATAGAAATAAAAGAGATAATTTATAATCGCGCAAAATATTTAAAATGCCTCAAAACATAAAGATGTCATGCCGATAAATTAATATTAATAATAAATAAACGATAAAAATGAATTATAAAATATGCATAGAAAATTGTTACGCTGATGGAGTTGCTTCGAAGTTGGATTCTGAAATTTCCCTATATTCATATTGCGCTACTAATCCCAGCCTGTTATGGTACAGTTAACTGCATTATAATCCATCGTCGATTACTCATGTCAAACTAAGAACAATCTGTGATCTGGGAATTAGTTACACACTCGTGCAAATACATCTTGTCGAAGCGCACGTCCGCGCGGGATTTTATTTCTCGATGCGAAAAATCGCGTTAAGCTTTCCGTGGTACGAATAAAAGTTCCGCCTAAATCGTCGTGAAATAACGTAGATTAAAGTCCATCACGAAAAATCTATTAATCGCACCTTTGGCAGTAGGATAGATACGCTATCACGTATCAATATTACTCTCTGGGCAATCAAATCCCGTTACGCTCAACGGTTACAATGATAGGGATAATCCCGATTGTAGAAATGAGAAAATAATCGTGTCATAAAATGATCTTGTCAAAAAGAGTTTTCTGATATCAACAAATTTATTGAAGAAAATGTAAAAAATGAAAAGGGATAAGATTAAACATACTATTTTCATATAATCCCGTGTTGGTATATATAAAATATAGTATCGCGTATATTAGGCTAAATTAATATTAATGGATAATGACACATTTAGTTCTATCTCGATGGTAGTCGAAAATGTTAGTTCCAAATTTAATTTTAGAAAATTAGGAAGCATGAATCAAATGTAAAATTTCGTTCTACATCTTTAAAATTGATGTCAAATGTAACTCATCGCTTCTGAATTACTTAAATGCAAAAGGCAACTGCAATTTGTATTATTTAAATGAGCCGTATCGTTTTTAATATTATTATCCGTAAAATAGAGTAAATACGATCGAATACATCGAAAATATATCATAGTGAAACTAGCGGAAGTTCTTCCCACGCGGAACATTTTGTGAAATTTTACTTTATACAAGACATTTATTGCCGTATCCGTAGTATTAACCAATAATTTCAGTAGGTACGGCAAAAAGTGCGTACTGTTTTAATTCAAAAATGTCCTCGAAAAACGACGATTTTATTATGCAAAATATAATTTATCTCCATGGACGTACCACTATTTCTTTCAATATTAGAAAGTGAATTTAATTGCAAAATGTATTTTAGCACATGCATATTACACTATCATAAATTACACCCGCAGAATTTTTAAAAAATTCCTACTGGTTTCATGTTCAGCTGTAATCAACGTAGCAAAAATTGCATAAGGATTCGACTGAAGCGTTTTATTTCGTCATACAGCATGCCTGCAAAATTAATTTACGCAGAAAAATTAAATAAACAATAAAGCACCGTAATACGGCATGCTCATGCGGGAAAATGTAAATGTATCCACGGTTAGCAGTTATACACAATTACGTAATTTAATCCGTGCACATTTGTTCGCCGGTGTACGACCTACGGAATGACTATTACTATTGTCCCGATTACATATTCACCGGATCCTCATGAAATGATTCTGAGAAATTATGCGGGAACAAAGGCACTATATGTGATAATCTTTATTCAACTGAAATCCCATAAAAGGTATAATTTAAATATTTACCGGTACTTATGTTAAGAGTGTTACACTTACATTCGTACAAAAAAAATATTAGCTTTCATATTAACATAAATAATGTAAATATAATTTTAAAAAAACACTTGCCTCTTTTTTTTTATTTCAAAATATAGTTTGTGAAATATGTACATGAAAAATGAAATATGTTCAAAAGATGAATAATTCAGCTTTGATTTTTATTATACAAATAAAATCGTAAAAAAATCGTCGCTAAGTAAATTTTGTCAAAGTTAATAATGTTAAAATGTAAATGTAATAATAACGCAATATGTTTTCATAAAGAATTAAAAAGTCCACGTGTTACAGTGTAAAAAAAAATAAGTATGTGAATATAGAAAACTCGTAGAAACGAAACTAGCTATCGAAATTGAAATTCAAATTAAAGAAGTTGTAACGCGAGAAATCGAAATCGAGGCGCATCGAATTTCAGACATGCAAAATGGCAATACATGTAATATAATCAAGATAGTTTTATTTTATCAAATTCAATACACGAATCACTCCGTTTCTAGAAACCTAATTGACTTTCCCGCGTCGGACAAGTTCCACATGCGTGCCTCGGTCGAATGACCGAAATTGATCGCTAACGGAAAAAATTGTACTGAGAGAATAAAATGTTTTCTATATTGCATAACACGATTAATTCTCACGATCGCGAACTGTTTTCGGTGGTTTCCGCAGAAATTCGACGAATAAAATTTCCGAAATTGAAATTTTTCAAACTGATGTACCGCAACAATTTATAGGATTGCAAACTGTTTTCAGTGAATCTGGCGGCTGAATACATTTTCCAAACTGATGTTTCAAACCGCGATGATTTATAGGACTTTTTTGTTAGTGAAAAATATTTGTGACGCAAAACCGCAGAGACAACACCGCAGTGGATCGACATTAAAAAAGGAAATAGATAAATAATAGCGCATTTCGATGCGATGTAAGTTACGATGGCATATGCAACATTTCCTTTTTATGCGAGGATTAACGTGGTCAAAATAATGGGACAGTTATATTTAGCGAATTAAATCCACATATTTCTACATTTATCGAACAATTTGAGAAATATTTACTGTTTCATAAATTTGTATTACATGATTATAATGTTACATATCCAGTTATGCGAAAGAAAGAGAAGTGTATTCGCTGTATTTTCGTTCAGATGTTTATACAACTCCCATTTATTCATAATTTAATGCATTTATTTGCATTATTTAGCAAGTACGATTTTCTACAAATCACGAGAGAGAATATAATGTTAATAGCAAATTAATAGCAAATTAATGAGAGAATGCAAATTTCAACATTGATATGACATACAATGTAGCAAATAAAATTGGAATATAAATCAAGTTTTCTGCATTTTTCTGCGGTTTTCCAAAGTATGACGTTTCGTTACACTTTCGTCAAAATCAATTTCATTGATAGTTTCAATCTTCCTTCTATCGATTTCGTGTCTTCCGCGAAACTCCGGGAAAATCAGGAAGAAACGAACGACAAGCTAAATTGCCGTTAAGGTTAAATCAATTCGGAGAAAACTACTCGTTACCCGTTTGCATTGTCCGGAATAATGCCTGCAGGAAGCAAGTAAGTTCACGGCGAATTCAGGCACGTTCGACACGCCGTGTCGGAAGAACGTCCTCTCGTTAGAAAGCATCCGCGGTCCACGCGCGTCGACACACGTGATTTAGCGGGAAAAGTTCGCGGATCGTGCGGCACGAAGCGAATCGGCATCACCTTTCTCCGGTAAACTCTCTATCGGTCGCGAACGAATTGGAAGGAAATGCGCGGCTAAATAATCGCCCGTCTAGCACATGTTAAAAGAAAATTTCAGCTGCTTCTTTTTTTTTTCCTTTCCTTTACCGAGGTATATTGCGCGTTCGATTCTCTCGGCGGCACAAGTTGCGGTATGCAGGACAGTAGGTCGCCGTCTCAGTAGCGGTAGAGACCAGCAGTCTCTTCTTCTTTTCTCCTTCTCCTTTTTTTTCTTCTTCTTTCTTCCTCCCGCTCCTCCAATCGCCGGGCGGATCATATCTTTCCCGAACGGCCCGTTCGTGACTGTCCTTCTCTCTTTTATCTCAAAGAGAAGCCGGGAACTCGTTAAAACACGAGCCTCTCTAACGGACGCATCAATAATACCATCAAAATGTTTCCCGTAGATGCGAATAACAATTTTCATAACGTTCAAGAACGAGAACGGAGATGTCCGTGCGTAAAAAGATACAGAGAGTATTTTCGCGTCATCGTCTCGACGCGGCTGCTTTGTACTAATTCGCATTCAGAGTCATTTGTCTCCCGCAGCCGGTTTTCCCTTCTCTTCCGCTTCCGTTGAACGACGCGCCAGTCGAGAAGGTTCCCTCTTCCTGTATTCACAACTTCACGGATACCACTGTAGAACAGATGGCTCCTGCTCATTCTCAGCTTAGCGCATCTACCTTTCTATGCATGTATGTTCTTTCACTCTTCCTGTCGCTTTCTCTCTTGCTCACGCACTCACTCACAGACCTCACTTTGTGATCCTCGCCGGAGTCTGTCTCTTTTTCTCTCGTTCTCCTTTTTGCTCTTTCTCCGACCATCCTCTCCTTTCATCTTGCACTTTACCTCACTCCCCGTTCCTTTATCTCACATGCTTGATGCTCATACGAGCATCGTTTGGGCCTCGCAAGAGACCCTCCACTCTTCTTCCACCACCAATCTCTGAACCAGGTCTTTACGTATCTCTGAAGACGGACGACGATTTCGTTACTTGCATTCGCGGCCGACATGTCGCATCATCCGAAATTTTCCAGCAAAAACACGAATTGGTATCATAAACCCGGCGTGTACCGGTTTTAAGTAAGTGAGCGAACGTGTTCGATCTCGCGTTACAAGTTCGCGATATGCTGTGAACGTGTGCTTCGCTGTGAAAATCCCGAATCGTGAGATCCGAGATCGTTCTCGAGCAGAGATGACCCTTCGCGAAAATTGAGTCTCGGAAGGAAATTTATCCGCAATGTGGATATTTCAAATTTAACGATCGGAAGATGCTCGTCGTTGCTATCGCAATATTTTCGTAAGTTATGAATTAATATACTTGAGTGTTTCTGTAAAAAGATTACATAAAAATAAAAGATAATTAAAATAATAATATCGATATTACTATTTCGTAATTTATGAACTTACGAGATTATTTTGAATTTATTCTTTCCTTTTAAAATATTTTCATAATAACTAATAATAATATAGTATATATAGTAATAATTTCTTTTGTAAAAGTATTATCTTGCTATCTTGAACAAAATAATCCTTTAATATATTTATTTTATATCGACTGCTATCTTCTCTCACAAACTTCATTGTTTAAAATTAAATTATATCTGAGATTATATAGAACTTAGTAATAAAATTGTAATTGATATATTAACTCGTTATATTAATTTTTCATTACGCTTTGAAATTTACATTAAAACATGAAAATTCGAATATCGTAACAGTTAACATTTCCTGAATAAGAATTTATTATTCTGTCGTGTAAATTCTTCAAAAAATTCATAATTAATATTAATGATTCTAATGAATGTACTAATGATCTTATAATTACTGTTTTAATTAAATATATGAATCATGTATTACAGTACCATTTCTCAAAAATTTTAATTCAGTTAAGAGTAATTTAAAAAAATTTTTTAAATTTTTTAAAAATATGAAATATTTTTTTCCTTGTATAACAAGAGAATAAATTTTCATGTGAATATATGAATAATTAAAATATGAATAATTAAAAAGTTGTCGGAAAATTATCGGAGAATAGTTAAATTCACCGCTTAACATAATAAATGTAAAAAAAGGTTCGTTAAATACATATTTAGCTCTGCTAAAAAAATCAGTTTATGCATTAATCACTCGGCTATTATAATCCATGTATTTGACATTTAAACAAAGTGTGTTTTATGATAACATTTATCACGTAAAAAGGATTAATAATCAAGTTCATAATTACTGTTTAATCGATATTTCTGAAATACGTATACAATTATCAAGAAAATTATTAATCTTATATATCGATCATCGTAATTTGAGTATTATTCCAAATTATTTATTGCAAATATCGTTTGCAAACAATCCTTACTTTTACTTCCGTCCCTTTCTCTCTCTTTGTCTCTAAAAATCTTTCGTGAAATTTTTCTCGTCTGCAAACTTTATCATGCCATAAAAGGCACACATTTTCAAGAAAGGTATATTGGAATTTGCTAGGCATTCTCGTTTGATGCGCCAGCGAGATTATACACCGCAGTTCCGAGATCCAATGCATCATGCATGGGCCTTCCATTTCTGTTGCTATAGAGTGTCACATCACTACCAACAAATATTTTATTCCACCGGGATTGCGCAGCAAAGGATATACAAGAAAGCTGTCGCAGCAGAAAAGTGAATTCTCTTTCTGTTTTTGATAACTTTTTGTTTGAATTTACTTCTCTCTTTTCGTCCTTTTGTTTTATGACAAACATAGCGCCTGCTTTTAAAGAAATCGGGGAAACGGGATACCTTTGAATATTAATATTGTTGAGTTTTTCGAAATATATTTTGATACTGATTTTTCATTGTAGAAAAACTTCTGAAGAATATAAATTAAATTTCCTTCGTGCATGCAAAATAAATAAAATTTAATTCTTGTACTTAATTTTGATTACTTCCAATTAAAATTTGTGTTTAAATCGCACTCAAAAATTACATACAATGAAACTTTTGTTTCGAAAGAATTATTCCAACGTACTGCACACAAACCTAAAAGGCACTACAAAAAAAATTTCAAAAATATCAAATTATTAGATGTTTTTTCGAATGAATAAAAATTATCCTACATATACTATTTATATATATATATATATATATATATATATATATATATATATAATATTTTCTATGTACTACATATAGTATTTTCTTTGATCGAGATTCGATACTTCTTTCACGAGAAAGATGCAGATACATTGCGAATTTTATAGATCCTACGACAGATCCCATGTGGATTGCATTGCGGTGGACACATGAAAGCCATTTCGCCCGAGCGTATCGGGAAAGGACACGGCTTACGGCTCACGGTGAATAATTCCGTTCGCAGGTCCAGCTTGGCTCGCGCAGAAGTGGGCCGGTCAACCCTGAGGCTGTAGGCCAGTTCGTATTAAGTACTCGAGGACCAGGCGGAAGGAAATTCGCAAGAAAGAGTGCCGAAAGAAGGAGCGAGAAGGAATTTTGCTAGAGAGAAGAAAAGAAAGCCGAAAGATCGTCGGCCGGCTTGGAGCATCTTATGATTAAAAACGGGGATCGTAAGAGAGAGAAATCGTCCTAAAGATCGATCAACGTGTGCGGGCCGCCGAGATAATTGCGTGACGATAATGAGACTGGCTTAGAGATACCGGCGTCGATGTCGAATATCATGATTTAACAAGTGAAGAAACGAGGTTGAGAGACTCGGTGAATACAAAAGCGTCTGCGAATCAAGAATGAAATGTTCCTGCCGGCTGTTTCTGAGCGGAGAATTGCGAGGAGCAATTCGTGTGAGAGAGAATAGTGGTTAGAAAATTAGACGCCGCTCTGCCTTGAGGCAGCTTACGTTTCTGCCGGAGACCAGACGTGCGGAAAATCGCGAGGGAGAGAAAGAAAGGGGCTAACCTCGCCAAGGACAAAGTGAAGTCAAAGCGAAGAAAAACGAAGGGTCGAGCGAGAGTAATCAGCACGCGTCGCTCTAATGGATACGATTATAAAAAGAGTCAATTTTTAAATAATATTATCTTATCGTAGCGAAGATGTTTCATTTGTACATCCATTACGGAATCTAAAGAAAGAAAAATCTTTTCATTTTAGATGTTGTATTTCCACGCATCAGAAAAAATGTGTAACAATTAAAGAAATAAATTTGAGGAAAGAGAAAACTAAACTGATTAAACATGTTTTAATTAGTATACATTCAGATATGCAAAACCATATAATCAAAGAATAATATTGACGTAGAAATGAAAATATTTATTCAAATGGAAATAGCATTAGAAGAGAAATTATATTAGTTTATTTATTTAAGAGAAATTAACCATGCAATATGAATGAAGAACCTGTTCTCGTCTTGCAAGCAAGCAAGTAATCTTAGAAATCACTTTCTCAATAAATGACTCTGAAGATCTACATACTAAGTAAGGCGTATTCGAAATTTTAATCAGAATTATTAAACTAATCGATGACGACACTCGCACAATCGTGAAATACTTATAAGTAAAAACTTTATGAAAATCAATAATTCCTCTGTGAAAAGAAGGGCAAAACGCTCATCATACAGAAGACTCGAAATCGATTTGACAAAAGGATTGCGAGGGTAGCTTAAGGGCACGCAAGTAGATTGACAAGAGCCATCATTGCGCCAGACTCACCTTCGAATACATCGTAAAAAGTATCATAATTTGTGGAAGAATACGAGAGGTGGGACGACGATCCAGAGTTCACGGAGATGCGTGGTTGATAGGTCAAAGATCGCATCGGGGACAGAGAGAAAGGATCGTGAAAGTTACGAAGCATAAGGCAGAAGAAAAACCGACCTGGAGGAGTGGATGTCTCAGAGTGGTGTGTTCCGGAGTCGGAGGGACCATCGTAAAGGTGATTCTCGAATGACGTTTTTAACCCCTGTCCCGCGAGGAGAATAAATAAATAGGCGAATTCAACGCCTACGCCTCGAAGGGAGATAGGTGTTAGGAAAGTGAGGCGGCCAAGTGGACGAAGATGAGCAGGCAAAGTGTACCACTCCCCGGCATCAATTCCTGCGAGAGGATCAGGCCGGAACGACCCAGAAATACGATACAGAGGTTGGTATGGGGTCCCGGAACGCAGTTCCAAGTCGGCCATATCGGCATCCCGGAGGATGAGGGCTCGAATCCGCGGATGGCGCTGAGAAGGTATGTGAACCGTATTTTGCGAAAAGTTATTAAATTGCTCGGCCTCATATCGGATCTTAGTGTATTAGAGCAGCAATCCTCAAACTTACTTTCCAGACTTTATATAAATAATACTATATTATTGTTATTCCGAAAAGGTAACTGTATTCTTGGCATAATCTTGCACGAATTAAACTTAAAAGAATTAGAAAAAGTTTATATTAGCATATGAGTGCTATTTTGAAAGTTATAAAAAATTTTTATAAAAAATTTCGTTACATAAAAATGTCGTTACGAGAGAATGAATTCGAGAATTATCGCGTTAGAAAAGTTCTCTTTAACGAAGCAGTTTTAATTACATGACTCCTAGATACGAACACATTTCTCAAAGCGACGCGTATTTTTACTTTCGCGGTATTTTTACGTTCTAGGTGTCATCCTGTGTCATCCCGTATAATGAACATACTACATCTACTAATTAAGAATTAATAACGAACGCTGCGGTTAGGAATTTTATGCACCATATACACGAAAGAAGAATCGTAACAAAGGATTCTGTGAGGCAATAATACGGTTTATAATTACATTTTGATTAGCGTGCACGTCAACGTGAGATCGTGTGACGCTTCGCTGGCTGCGTGTAACTAGCAGTCTCTCGCATTATCGAATCATATTGTATGTTCCTCTCTTGAACCAAGAATCAGAGATAATTACCGCCATATCCGTCAGACAGCCGCGACGTGTAATAGGTTTATTTAATCCCGCTATGCGCGTCGCGCATTAATAGAGCATCGAGAGGGTGATCAATCAATTACACGAAGACGATCAATAGGACGCGTGGAAACCACACGTAGTGCAAAAAGCAATCGTAAAAATGATTCGCGCATAATGCGGGAATCATTTTCGTGGCTGCTTTTTGCACTGTGGTGCACGTGTGGTTTCCATGGGACGGGATTAAAGACGCGAGTTCGCGGAGACGCGCGATAAATCTGCTTAACGCCATTGCCTAATAGCGGTAATTCGCACGGTAATAAATCGCCGGTGGATTTATTTGTCTGTGCGAGGTGAGATAAATTAAACGCATCCTCGCATTCTTAATAACGGTAATTCGCCGTTACGATTGATCGCTGCGCTTATGCAAGACGTAATTAGCAGACAAGTAGCAGATTTAATGTATCTCGTTAATCCATAATTACGTGCATGTCGCTCTACATGCTAAATATGTATTACTAATTTTATATCTTTCGCGATTATTAGGTAAAGCTTTATTTAATTTTATCTAATCTGTAATTTAAGTTTGTTTAAAGTGCATTTATTATGATGCGTTTCACACGTTTTACAATAATCGCCTTTTATATTATTTTCAAATATGCTTTAATATTTATAGATAACGATCGCTGCAACTTTGCAATATCGATTTAATACCGCAAAGTACCGTAACTTATATTTTTATTTATTGAATTTATTCAGATTTCAATTTATTCAATCGGATAATCGGATTATAGAATAGAATGTAATTTTATTTAGTCTCGCTTTTCAATTGCATTCCATTACAGTCCATAAAATAAAATATCAGATACAATAGAACATTAATCGCACGACAGAACTGTGTATATTATTGATTAAAGTTAAATTACGTAGGCATCAACAATTACAAATCCAAACTACAATCGTCAGTGAATCGTTATTAGCGTACGTGATGATATTAATATTTTCACAAATCTTTCGCAAATTCTCATAATCTACAATTCTATCTTTACTACATTTAACATCCTCTACGATCATGAATAATTATTTTTTATAAAAAATACTCAACAATGACAAATTTTTGCAAAGCATCAAATTCTTCTTTTCGATCTATATCTTATCAAATTTATTTGCTGCTACTCGATTCGATAAACTGTTTACTTAATATGAAGATAATCTAATACCGATCAGAAGTTTAGTACGATCAAAATACAAGATATTTAAGGGTAAAACTTTTCGCTATAAATATCGTACTGTATAATTTACGTCAATTATCGCATTTCCGTTGTTACTAATAAACGTGCACATCACGTAGTCTAATAAGTAACTGAGATTAATTAGTTCGCGTTTCTAAAGTTTAACGCTTGATTCATTTTCCCGACGTTGTTCTACGACGTTAGCGAAATTCTACCGGCGTGCTGTTAGACAGGATAACACCGTCGTAACTACGTCTTTTCTTCAGATTGCTGAGGTTGTACGAGGGCAGACAATACAGGGAGGCGGCCGGCTTCCTGATGAAACTACCGCATTACACCCTGAAGGCTGCACTGCCGGATATTCCGGTGGACCTGTTGATCGAAACGCTACCGCACAGCCTCACCTTACTCGAGGCGCTCTATTCCCGATTAGTCGAGTTGAACGTCAGCGACACGAAGACTCTGCGGATCGAGCAGGTCCTTTGGAGGATAGTGCATCTGATATCGACCAGTCAGGATCACTTCCGACCGCGGATCTGGTGCAAACTTCTCGTGTCATTGAACAGATTATCGCCCAGCACGAAGAGCACCCTGCTATCGAGAAGACGCGCTCTGGAGAGGGCCGTGGAAGGACTTGGCAAGCACGGATTAGTGCCCTCGCAGACGAACATCTCCGAGAATTCCGTTACGCCAAATCTAGTGCCGCTGCCGGTGGCGCTGAAAGAGGAGCTCGAGACGCGAACAGAAGCATACAAATTGGCCCTGCACAAAATCGAGAACTTCGGCAAGCATTCTGGGACCAATAAAGGTAAACGTTTCATTGTTGTTAACAGAAACCGCGTTACGGTACAGACCTCAGATTTCATCGCGCGTTGAAAATCAACAAAAACGTTAAATTCTTCTATAATTTTAACGTCATATTTTTACACATTTATCGATATTAAAATTGTCATCTGAGATCTATTGAAATAACAATATCATGCAAATTTTACCGAGAAATGTGTGAATATTTAATAATCATAAATCAAATAAATAAATATTCCAGTTTTACGAGACAAATATATTGATCGACAATGACGATGGATAGTAGCTATTTATTCCTCAATTATATGTTTAATTATTAAAAAAAAACAAATTAATTATCGCAAACGTAACGTTAGATTAGCAAGGCAATATTTTGCGATTATATTCCTTTTTTTTCGGGAATCAACTCGAATTTCCATACAAGATTTGGCATTATGACAATCGTGGCGGGTATACATTGAAGCGCGTAATTATCCTCGGTCGCGCGATGGGATTAGCGTGCATCGCTAATCCCATCGGAATAAAGTTGTTCGTTCCAGCGCACCGCGTGTATATCTGGAGCTCCGCGGTATCGTGAAGCATCGGATTTTAACGGTACCGTGAGCGCCGCGTTACGTTTACAAATGCAAATGGACTAATGTCGGGCGCGTGTTAAGCCATTTACATAGGAGACTGCACTATTCTCTCGTTCGCGGCGGCTTCCCCATGACGTGCAATCTGAGACGTGTCATCAGCGATATGTTTCTGTGGAGAAAGGTGCTGTAGATGAAAAAAAAACGCACGTAAAACGACCGCATAAATATTGATTAAATGGATAGATGTTACTTTCACAGTATCCTTTCGTGTAAAAAAATTTTAAGACGTCAACAACTATTTTTTTATTAAAATAATCAGCTGATATAAAATCATTTCTAAATTACAACTTTAAATACATATCTTTGCAATAGATTATTTAGTCCTTTAGTTATTATCTTTTAACTGCTACGAACTATTTTTTCATTGAAATTTATTGAAAACTCGTTTTTAATGAATTTTACGATAATATATAATGCTAATAATAGTGATATATCTATAATTAACTTTCATTGATTTAACTTAATTTATACGACAACTCAATTACGCCATTAATAATATTAATGTCTTTAGATGGATGATAGAAATTTATTTCACATCTTCGTTGATTAGATAAAGAAAAGCACGGTCCATATGTATTATGATATAATGGAAATAGACCGTCGTCCGAACTATAACTTATTGGAGCGTGAACCTGTGGCAATTTGTGCCTCGCGCGCGAGAGTGCGGATATGCCACATAATTTAATCTCGCCTCATTATATAAAGGAAAGTATGGCATATTTAGTTATGATGTCAGATACTCCGCGATTTCGCTGTTCGTGCCGGATATCGGGCCGACTATCTACGTAGCCCGAGGTGTCGTAAAAAGACGACGGCGGATGCAGTAATAATCGCCTCGCGCCATCATCGGTTCCGCTCTAATAATAAAAAATAATAATAACGACTAGAGAGAAGAGAGAAGAGAGAGAGAGAGAGAGAGAGAGAGAAGCTCTGATCTTTTCTTACGCTTTTGTAGCGGATCAAGGTGTACAGGCGGCCTCGCATCAGCGGCAGCTTTCACTGAAGTACAGCGAGATCCAGCAGCGGCTGATCGATAATCAGAGTCTGCTGAACACCTTGGAGAAAGCGGGTGGGCCGTGTAGCTTGGAGAATCTACTAGCGGAGCTGAAACGCCGGGTCGAACAGGATAAGGAGGCGCTCCGACAATGGACGGCCTTGAGGAAATCGACCTCTGGACCGGCGAACACGAAGAATCCGGCCCTCGCCGCCAGACTGTTGCAGTTTTCGAGGGGCTGCGCGCTCGCCCTGCAGTTTATGAGCGAGGATAATCCACAGGTAAAAATTCACATTAACACCAAGCATCATTTTCCAAGCAACTGGGTTGCTCGCGAAATTTAATCTTCATAATTGCGCGAAAGGATACTCCTTTTTTCTTCCCTCATTTTTGCGAGAAAAATAAAATGAAGTTTTCCACCCGTTTCTAGATATTAATTTGTGCGACGAAAAGACGTTCGCAAGAGAAAATCATTTTCAAGAAAGAGATGAGAGGTGAGGAAAAAGAAACGCTTCAGACTCGCTACCCGAACAATACCGTGTAAGAGAGCCGATTATCGTTTTATCTACCCACGAAACAATTCGCGCAATCGTCTCGAGCGTACAAAAGCGTAAAAAGATGGCACAGAAGCGACGACGAACTACTGAAACAATGGGCGCGTCGTTAGTGTGCAATCGTAATTTGTTTTTCGCGCCTCGTGAGAAATTCGTATGGTCGATCGCAACAATAAAAACGGTGAAAAATTTGCGCCGAGATTGCGCGGGTAAAGCGCGAGAAAATGATTTCGAAACACACGACACACGGTATAACACGGTATGTACAACTGCTACGATTCCCGCGGGATTGCGGTTTGCGACTCCGGAGTTGACGCGTCCAAGACGATCCACGGACGATATTAAAGGCGCCGTTTGTAACCACCATGGAACCCCACAGGGAACTTCACAGCGCGGATCTAAATTACACGAGTTTACTCTTGTACCTGCTTACATTCGATTACACGGCCAAAATGAAATCTTGAAGTCGCTTGCAGCTCAATATCAAATCCCCGAAAATTATCCGTGATTAATAAGTAAACGTGGTGGGATTGCTGGGATAAACCGCTGGATAGGATACAGATTAAAACGTAGTAATATATGTGAGATACATCTGTGTGTTTATATTCGCACGAGTGGGAATTATGCACGAATATAAATTATTTCTGTCGATGACTATAGCATATAACGCGTTTTCGATTCGAACATCACTCAGAAACTTGAGTCGGAATAAAATATCATTATACGGCATATTAAATGGCCTACGTGCGCTCGCCTACGTACGGTTCGTTAATAATACGTTGAAAAACGTAAACGTTGAAAATACACTGGCAAAACGTACGTCACGGAATACGGATGCACGACGGGGAAGAGATATTAATGCGAATCAAATAAAAATTATTTTTTAATCAAGTAGAAAAGTGAGCGCACCTGGGCACCGCAATTTATTGCAAATTCCATCGCAGCTCGCATGTTTTTCATAATTTACGATCGAGAAACGAGATTACGGAGTTTCGAATAACATTATCCCGTCGAATTTATCGTAAAGTCAATGTATAATATTCATGAGAGAGAGAGAGATGTTTTCAAACGTGCGCGCGCGCGCGCGTGCGTCAAGTATTAATGCACGCAAAGCGTTAATACGAGCGTTATAATTAATATCGCATATATTAATGTCGAGTCATAAATTACCGCCTTTGGGGAACGACGATGCACACATGATAAATGTTTCATGTGTCTGACTACCATCGCGCCGCGAGCCTCACTAAAAATTACAAATTGAATCCGCGTCGTTGCCGGCCTATGCGCTCGGTTTTCAGCAATCCTTTTAGAAAAACGCGAAATAACGGCCTGGCTACGATACGCGATTTACGTGACGCGACACGCAGCGTAACATGTCTCCTATGAGGAGAATAGCAATTTATATTTCGCGAGGCAATGAGAACGACGAAATAATTTGCGCGCTTTGCCTTTGCCTTTTCTCTTTTTGAGATAGGAAGGGAAGAATAACACTCGTTCTAATGGAGAAAACAACTATATTTAACATTCGATCGAATTCACAAAATTCAACAACGATGACGTCTGTCTGAATGTTTTCGACAAACGCACAATGTTCATCCTTTCGAGAAATTTAGCTGAAATTCGGTTAGAAATGCGGCGAAACCTGCTATCGTCAAGTATTTAAACGGGTTCTCGATAATGAATGCGCGCGCGATGCCGCTCACGACTGCATTACAATTATCAAATTGGAAACAAAAATACACGAGTAATTATCTCATTTGCAGACGCCAATGATGGCGAATTGCAGAAAGGGTGGAAAGTGGCACCTAGATTGTTATATAACAGAATCAAATTGGAAAACCGGCTTCGGCATGCCAAAACGCGTTAATTGCTTTCCGTTGAGTGCATTTTAATTGAAAGCCTAGAATCGACTGCAAATCCCAGTCGAAAATGGAACGAGTGGATCGAGGATGCTGCGATTGTTCAGTAGTTTCTCCATAGTACGAGGTATCCACTCGATTGCGTAGTAATGATACTTGGTATTTCTAATAACATAACTGCAAAGAAAAACATTATCCTTCTTAATATAAGTTTTTACAAATTTAACATTTATAATGAAAAATTAAAATACAAAAGATAATGCCAATTAAACATTTCGCCTCACTTCCTCTGTCGTATTCCGACATTGTAATAATTTTCTCTAAATTTTCTCATGTTCCATGGATATTAAAAATAATAAGAAAGCTCTACTGAATTTTTCAGTTATGAACTATTAACATAAAATTAGAGCTAAATAAATTAAAAAGTCATAACAATGTTCAAATAAAAAAAAGAAACGTATTCTCAAAAATCAGAATCTATCTAGTAATCTTACTTAATTATGAAGAAAAACAAGGTTCGTTGTAAACAAAAAAAATAAATTCAGGTATAAAGATAAATACTCAGATTTTCTTTCAAAGGAAGAGGATATATAGAGCTGTACTGTACTGTAAAGAAGGAAATATTTTTTATGTATTTGTATATATAAGGCCTGTACTACATCATGAGCTATCTCATGCAGGTATTCCATCTGGATGAGAATCTCGGCGACGACTACGAGGAGGAGTCCAGCAGCGCCGGCTACCACACGGACGAGAGTTGCAGCCCAACACCGGAGCCGGTTGTGACGGGCAGCAACTGCGAGGTTCTCAGCGTAGAGGAAAATTGCTCAGACTTAACCTCGGCAAATATCACGGTGGAACAACTCGCTGAGAGATACGGCGCTCTTTACGCCCAGGCCAACTTGCATACCCTGGATGCATTGGATGCACTGGAGTCTCTTAAGGACGCCTCCGATTTGAAAGCAAAGATTCTTTACTCGGTAGTTGTGGTGAGTACCGTTTTAAATTGAATAATTACAAACGTATAGACAACAGAAAGATACTTTCAACTGTAATATCACTTGTTAAAGCGGTCACCTAAGCATATTTGAAATCTCGTAGTTGTATCTTTCGTATAATAATTAATTTTAATATTAACAAAAATACTCAAATCAAAAATATTAGAATAAATTAAATATTTAATAAAAAATATTTTAAGTAGACGATAAATTTAAATTATAAGCTAATCTGTAAGAGAGTCAGTGACGTTTGATGAGTAGCATGACTATCGTATATAGTATAAATTACGAAGTGAAAATTCTTGTCAGGAAATTCTGTTTTTTTTCTCGTCAATCAATTTAACGTGACTTCTGTCGGATGAGCAGGGTCAAATGCGACAAAAGGCGCAACGAGCGACCGCGAATTATTATACGAATAGCACTCAATCATCTGCAGAAACGTGTAGGAATTAGCCACGTGCTGGCGCGAAATTATCATGCGAACGTTCTAATTATACTAATTGTACAATACGTTGCTGTCCCGTTTCAAGCCTGGATTGTTAAAAATAAAAATTAAAAAGTTTTTCACTAAATACTTTTAACACTTACACTAATTACTTTTCTAATACCAATTTAATTTAATTAATAGAGAGTCATAAATAATTAATTAATCAATTAATGTTATAGAGACATCACACTATAGAAAAAAAAACTATTTATTTTAATCGCGATGTAATTAACATTTTAATATGACATATGTGTTTATATACTAATATTCATATATCAAAATACGATTGATATTGCAAAATGATCTTAATGATCAGTTTTTACTATAATTTCTCATATTCTATTTTAATTATTAAGAGTATACGATACTGGAAGCCACTTTGATTTTTCTCTTTCTATAAATACACAATTAAAACGTTGTTCTAGAATATTGTTTCATATCGTTTTACACAGATAACGTTAAAATGTACACATTTCAATTATTTCGTAATACGCAATAAAAGATCGTTTTCAATGAAAATTTCGTTTAAATCATTAATAGATGTAATTTAATCCTGCGATATTATATAACGTTCGCTGTTTATACTAGAAAAATAAATAACATTTATTTAACACATGCCACGAATAAATAACAAATTTACATCCTCATGTAGCATGTTCTACAATTTCGCATTGAAGAGAGTCATACAAATCTATCGTATTTTGCAATAGAGATAAATAAATTCGAGAAATAATGAAGAAAAAGTCCTCGAAAATGAAAAGAATAATCAGTCTAATGTATACGCAATTAAACTGGCATACACGTGCACACGACCCTAGACAGCTAATATGTACAGAAATTGTATACGTCGTCAAGAGAGCAAACGCAGTTCATGTCAAAGGTTTCAGGACATGCAAACACAGTTCATGTCAAAGGTTTCAGGATGTGCAACGAGATATTGGGTTACACCCCGTGTAATTCCCAGCAAAATCTGGTATACCGTAATTACATCGAGCGAGATTAAGCTATTTAATGTATCCCGGAAAATCTCTCTCGTGCGTGTACAAAATTTTTTTATAAATATTTTTTAATACGCACGTGTTACTCTTGATGCGTTAATATAAAACCTCGTCTGCATTCGGTTTACGTAAACAGGGCAATGTGAATATTTTTATGCAAGTGCAAATATCAAAAATTAGATTGGACATTTTTCCAACCACCTCTTTAACCGTATAAGTGCATTGTTTTTTTCTTTTTTTAGATTCTGCCATTCCGAATATATATAGAATATGCATATATAAAAATAAAATCGCATTAGTTTTATGTGTCAATACGATTGAACGTATCACAAACTGTCGTAGAAGATGTCGTTTTCGCACGACATTGAATGTTACCCCACAGATCGCTATGGAAACTGAATGTCGTATTCTCACATGACATTGAAAGCTAATGATATAACGCCAGATTGATCAATGATTATGTAACAAGATGTAACATGTGTCGTTGGAAAGTATCGACAGCATTAGGATCGAGAGTTTTCCACGTCTAGATATTCGTAGGAAAGTAGGAGCGCCACGCGGAATGCATCCCGGCCAGACGCGACGAAGTAGACAAGTAGCAGACCTTTCTCGCGATCGGATTCGATGTTCGCGAGCATCGGAAAAGTCGCGATTTCGCGTCATGGGGAAGAGAGAGAGCCGACGGAATCTAATGGGAACGCACACACTCGATCGAGAGTGCGGTGTGTCGACAAACACTTGTTCTCCACTTGCACTCTCGCGTCAGATAACGTGAAAGCCGGGGATGCCAACGGGGACACACGAGGCGTGCGCTTCGCGTGTGATGCGCACAGTGTTTACACGTGCGCTGTAATCACGCTTTAAAGGCTACGCCATACCGGATCTACCGCCGTGCTTCCTTCTCTCCCGTCGAGAATATTCCCGTCGAGTAATATATCCCCGGTCAATCTAGCCCTCCCGGGGCAAAAAAAAAATCGCGTTGTTTTCCGCAACGTTTAAATTATTAATATTAAATTTTGATAAGCGAGAGTTTATGATATTAAAGTTTTTTCTAATTAAAATTTCTGTCAAGCGGATAATGAGCTCCCGCCTATCCATCTCTGAAATTTAATTTACGGGAGATCCTCTATCTTCAGTGGCTCGTGATTTAGACTGTTGATACTTCGGGTTGTCCGACAAAGAAAAATAGTCCTCCTTTTTCTCTTTTATCAAACTAATCGAAATATACGAGGAATAAAATGTGGAATGGATAAACATGCGGAGAATTAAGAAGGTGAAATGCATGTAAAATATGATTCTATTCATTTCTACGCACGAAAAAGAAAAGGTTCGTTCGATTTTTCTGAGTCATGACAAGTGTAATTTAAAAGGATGAAAATATATCTCATATAGTAAAGTCAATAGATATCTATCGTACATTAATGAATCTAAAAGTCTATGGATCTTTGGATCTCACATTGTGTCGACAAGTAATAAGTTTCTTCTATCTGTTACTGGTATTTACAAAGTAAACTTCTTCATTGTAGGAGAAGCATAAAGCGACCCATTTCCCGCGTTCGTCGCGTCGTCTCGTTGATCCAAATAATTTCATTATTGCGGAAAATTCAATTTTATGATCAGCGAAGTCTTTGAGCAAAAACTTGCAAACCTCTTACGACACATTTTTGAAAAATATAAAAATGAATATTACATTGCAATTACAGAATTTAAATTAATTACACAAAGGGGTGCGAAATTATTAATTCTTGTGATCAATTGAATATTTCTTGCGTTAATAATTGCTCTTTATATAGGCTTTGTATGTTTTATGATCACGCGTAACGAAGGCAGTTGTAATACAAACGAAGAAAAAAATCGATGTATCTTCGCGAAACACTATTTCCCATTAAAAACAAATAAACTCTTGGTTAATAATGATTGCGAAACATGATAAAGTGCTCCGAAATTGTCTTTAATTTTCGAGAAAATTGCATTATTTAAAGCAAAACGGGTAACTTGCGGAACAAGCTGTTCCAAACTTCATATTCACATTTCATATTGACATTTAATATTTCTTTTTATTTTCCTAAGAGAAAAGTGAAACGCAACGAATAACGAGAAAAAAAAAGATAATGATGAATGGGAGTGTGAGAGATAACTTTTTATATGCGAAAGTTAATCTTAAAATGAATTTCGAGCAGAGAATCGACGATTTTTGTGTATATAAGTATGCTGCAAGATTATTTTTACTATCACCACGCACCTGTCTCCTGTCCGATCGATGGACCATTAACGTCAAAGCCGCCGGAGGGAAAAGAGCAAAGGGATGATCGGATGATACGAAAGGGGGGTCGAAGAGAGGGCGCACTTTTGCGATAGAGTATAGTCGGCAAGTGGCAGAGAGAGCGACAGAACGAGAGAGAGAGAGAGAGAGAGAGAGAGAGAGAGAGAGAGATATGCTA